TGGAGAGAAATCAGGAGCTAGCTTGATTTCGGTCTCTGTGATTACCCATCACCATTAATGTTTTAAAAATTTGATTCATTCCACATTTCAAAATGTATTTGATCTAATAAAGGAAATCTTTAAAACTAAAAGATTCTAAATTATATAGTATCCATTGGTTAATTGAAAAAAAAGTATCATCAAATAACTATATATGGTACCATCAAAGATAAAGCTAACAATGTTTGATACATTTTAAGAATCGGATTATTCTATACAAATCCCAAAGAGTACACAAAATAACAACAAATTGACACTATACATTCATGGAGTCTCTATGAGACAAGACTCACTTTTGTTTCTCATATATTTTTCTTTCTAAAAATGTTTTACATTTGAGTTTCTAGAAATTCCAAGATGGCCAAACCGGCCGTACCAACATCATCATCCAACACATGTTCTGCCGGAGAATGGCTTATTCCTCCGCGACACCGGACAAACAACATCCCCACCTACCGGAAAAAAAACTCTCTCTATAAGTTAGTTTCTGAGCCAAGAAAACAGTCAGAACCCACAATAGTTACACAACTGATCAGAGTGATATCTAGCTGATTGTGAACATTCTACACTAAGATGTCTAGAGTGTCAACTCAATTACCTTAGTTAAGTGTGACATAGCCATAGCATCATGTCCTGCTCCGCTCATTAGCACAGGGACCTCGTCTTGGTTCTCTCCTGTCATTTTCTTAAGTGCAATCTGAGCTGCTGATTTCAGCTGTAAACTCAATTGCGGGTCTGACATTACTGCGTCTGCGTCATGCTGCAATGATGATAAACCGGGGACAAAGTTGGTAAGAAGAAGACATCAGAGAGTCTTAAGTTAAGATCATATAATACCTTTCGTTCAATGGAGCACAACAGCGATCTTTTGTCACATATCTGATACATCCTAGTTGATAAGTCATGGAGAATAGCCTTGCGTCCTACATCATCTATCGTACGTAAATCCACAGTGAAAGTTACCTGAATTCATACCATTAATCTCCATGGTATCATTTAGTGTTTATTCACAAGAACAATGAAGAAAAGAGTAAATGCGAAAAGGCGAAAAAAGGAGATTAGTTTCTTTCTCTAACCTGGCCTGGGATGACATTACTAGCACTTGGCCACGTCGATATCTCTCCAACAGTACAAACAAGTGAACTAGCAAGGGATTCTATCGTGTCCTCGTTGCATAGACCGTCGCAAGTTAAATACTCTTTAGGGTTCTTGCAAACACTTTCCAATAGTACAATCAGCTCCGCGGCACCAGTCATAGGGTCTTGACGCAGTGACATTGGAACGGTTCCAGCATGTCCTTGAGAACCTTTAACAGTAACCTGTAGAATTCTGTCCATTTGGGTTTCAAATAGCCTTCTCAAAGATTTTAAACACGAAATTTAGTTACGAATACGCTACCTTGAGTCGTGTCTGTCCTGCAATTCCTTTAACTACTCCAAGAGGATAACCAACCCATTCAAGCACAGGCCCTTGCTCAATGTGAACCTACATGAGAAAATATTCATAGTCAACAATCAGAATAACTTCATCCAGGAGACAAACAAGTTTGCAAGATGAAAGAGTTCGCTTTACCTCTACATATCCCCAAACAGAAGCTGGATCATACTTCAGCTGCAATAGATTTTCCTCTGTTATGTCTATGGAGTTTTGTTTAAGAGCATCTTGCACAGAAATACCACTGATCGAATGAATACGGAAAATGTGAGTACGTATACTCATTATCTACAAAGGGAGAAGAAGCTAAGGTCCTCGAGTAAAACCTTTTATCAGCAACCTCCAAGCGAGAGACTGGCATGATACCAGCCAGAGCAGCACTGCCTAGGAAAGTAGACTGAAATCTCACTCCTTCCTCATCACTAAACGCAATCACCTGATACATATAACATCAATTTCTTGTTTATCAACAATATATAAATCCATTCGACTATATATAACTGCACGAACCTCAACAGGCCGCTTTAGTTCTCCTAATTTCCCGTTTGCTTTCAGAACCTTCAATGCAGAGATTGCGGAGATTATGCCTAATGAGCCATCATATTTACCAGCATCAATAACAGTGTCCTGTTTAAACAAAGCAAGATCAATTGTCAGCATTATCGTCATCTCATTCAAGATCACACTACAGGAAGCAAGAAAATGGCAAACAGAATTGTGAATTACCATATGGGAACCAATTAGAAGAGCCTGAGTGCTTCCATTCTTTGGATCCACTCGACCATGTACATTTCCCATGTAATCAACCCATCTGCAAAAAAGAAAACACTTTTTTTCATCTACCAAAGAAAGCTCTGTAGATAAGTAGATTTTTAAAACTAACGTTGATAAACCGGCATCTTCCATCCATCCACGGATAAGATTTATTGCTCTTATGGATGCTGGACTCATAAAAGTCCTCTCTAAGTGGGCAACTGCATCACTCACCTACAAATTCAAGAAAATCAGACCAAAAATAAAACTAAGATATGTGTCGGTAATAATCTTTCAAGACATTTTCAAGTCAAATAAAAGAAGATTTCCTTCACGTAAACTAAAGAAGCATTCACTTTTAAGATAACACTGTCTAGTTGGATTATGTATAGGAAACTTACGAAAAAGTTTCAATGAAAGAATATAAAAGTATTTGATTACCCTGAGAGACAAGGACACAATCAACCTAGTTTTATCAAATCATGTTTGGTCAAACAAGAAAAAAAAAGAAACATTCCAAGACATTGTCATAAAGATTTGATGAGTAGAATCATGAAAACAGAGAGTAATACGTGAAAGCTAAGCAATCGAATCATCATCAATTCATGAACTTCACAAATGGTAATAATAAAATTGAGATTTTGTCATGAACATGAATGAATACCTTTCCAAGTTCGTGTAATCTTGCTACAGATTCGTCCCTTAAGATCGCCTGATGCAGATCGGGTTTCGTCCCTTCCGTTTCACCGATTCCTTATTCCAATTAAAAACCATCAAAAATTGGTAAGAAACAGAACAAAGAGATGATAGCGATGACTCATCGACATGAAACAGAGCAGTATCACGAACAATCCCAGAATCACAATTTTTTGAAAAAAGTCGANTCTTTTAAATGATTTTAGCAAAAAGAAGAACCTTTGAATGTTAAAGAGAATCTTAGCGACTTAGAGAATGATCCGGAATCGATTGATTCGAGTAAGAGAGAGAGAGAGAGGAATTTACCGAGGGAGATTTGG